AAACAAGGCCACTAATGGGTCTTTAACATAGCAACTAAATCCGGCACACGGAGGTGGGCTTCAGCTGACCCCTTATTTATTTTGTACACTTGTTCAGCAAAATGGACACCATCCTAAACTCCAGTACATACAAATGAACCAAAATTATCACAAAAAAAAAACACACACAAGAAAAACAAAGGCTAGAGGTTCCTGACTTGGGATAGCTGCAATAATGTGGCAGGGGTAAAACATGTTGTGTGAGAACTCAACCCTCCCCTAGTTTCTCTAGACAATATAGAATAAACAAACACACAGTAAAACTCAGTTTTAAATATGTGCATTTTGTGGAAGTTTGAAATTTTATCTTATGTTTCGGTTATGTATTTATAGTAATTATACGTGTAGGTATAATAGTATACAAAAAATGATTGTGTTCAAAAATAACTGTAAATCAGTTTGGTTACTGACTTTGATTTTGTCATGTTAATTGCTGGAAAAGTCATTTTTCTAGTGTCCTTGCATCGTCATTGACTGTAGTCCTTTTTGTGTATTTTTTCATTAGCTACTTTTACAATATTTGAATTGCATAAAGTCACAGTTAAACACCGACGATGTGAATGCAGATTTCTCTTAATGTGTTGCTAATTTTATTTAGCAAGCTCTATCAATATCCACGTTTAATTTCAGATATATAACCTTTTTAAATTTAGGAACATATACTAGTTCACTGAATTATAGCATTAAAAGAGGGACAAAAGATACCAGAGGGACAGTCAAACTCATAGATCGAAAATTGAATGTAGATCTGATATTGTTTAAGGCAATTTCAAGAGCAGCTTTGTCAATACGATTATACGTTTACATCAAGAGCTTGAATTTTAATAGTAATTGTACTAAAGTGGTCCAATTTTGGATGTTGAAAATGAGATAAGCACTGTTGAATGTATTAATGGGATCACTTCCTGAAGGAAGTGTTAATAGCAATAGCGCCTTATGTGTGTATCCTATAAACCTGCATGTATGTGCATGGTGGTCTGAAACATCAACCAAATGGTAATGACAAAGAACTAACATGGGTTGTCTGCTATATGAAAATATTATGGTCAAAGATATATATATATATACTTACTAGTATATAAAGAAAAGCATTACCAAATTCTTTATTTAATATATCTCATTGAATTAATTTAATAAAAGGTAATCAGCTTTAGCCTAAGAACTGTAACAAAATGATCATGCATCATCTGTGTATGAATTAAAATTTGTAGTGTCTGTGGGCGACTTTGATGGCCAGAGATAGCGGTTAGATAGTCAAGTCTAATCAGAAAGTATGTCTGTTGGTTTTTGTTAGTCGTTTGGCTTGCTTTCTCATTGACTTTAAAAACCTCAAATCTCTCTTTATTTATAAATATACTCTATTACAGATATATCAATGTTAAAGACGCTGTTTTCTGCTTCCGGGATGCTGACCTGTATTCAACTCATTTGAACGAAACTATAAAAATATTTAAATATATAAATGTTTAGCTTTTAAGGACCACAACACTCTATCAGTGATCTCTTGATAGTAAGTTTGATCGCTTGCCAATGAAACCATCACTTATTATAAAACCTCCCCACTTTAAAAACATTAGAAGATGCTGTATGATTGCCAATGAGAAAACTTTCCACAAGAGATATCAATGATGTGGGTGTGGATGTAAACAACTATAGCTCATCGTCAAAATATAAAACAAGTCAAACGAGAAACTCAAAGGCCTGATTAATGTTTAAACAATAAACGGAAAAACAAATATGACAGACAGCAAACAATAACAACCATGTAATAAAGGGCCACTGACTTGTGATAATCATATTCATAGTGTGCAGGGTTAACCCTGTTTGTGAGCACTCAACCCTCCAATAATCAGGAACAGTTTTTATTTAGGGGCCGACTGAGGACCACCTCCTGGTGCGGGATTTTCTCGTTGCGTTGAAGACCCATTGGTGGCCTTCGGCTGTTATCTGCTCTTGATCTAGTCGGGTTGTTGTCTCTTTGACATACAGTATTCCCCATTTCCATTCTCAATTTGATTTAAATTGCAAACAACGTAAGAACAAATTGTAAAACCCAGTTGGAAAGGGCTCAACTAAAAAAGATCAGCACGGTGTATATAACCAATTAACAAAAAGACACTGAGTTCTCATAGCTAGTTCAAAGCTTAGTAATTACAGTTGATGAATAAATACTGTTGGCACCGACTAAAATATAAATAAGTACACATCCGATTAGTAACCAAAAAGAAAAGTGGATTCAGTGTTACAGTCAAAGCTTTATTTATATGGTGTGTGAGTACTGAGATCGTCTCAAATTACATGAGTAGCTATTTGCTTCGAGGAGCCTGAAATTTTCATTTGTGAAAACATATTTAACATAAAAAATTTTAACACTCATCATTCTTATTTTTTTATGAAACATTGTTGGATTCTTAACCTTAACATGTTTGTTCCAAAAGGTAAATGAAAAAAATATATTGTTTTCTTTCTAAAGTTCTGGAGAAAAAATACATTAAAGACTTTAAATCTTGCAATAACATTTTTTTTTATAAAGAACAAAACATGTGTTTCTGGAACCCCTCCTCCAACAAAATATAAACTGTCTGTGCCTTTAACACAGGAGCAGAATTATTTCAAATACCAAGTAAGAATGTGACTAAATTGGTTACTTTAATTCAGTACAGTTTTCCATTTATAGGTAACTTACCAACACTATGTTCGAGAATTAGATTCTTGGATTGTAAAATAGCAGAACACAATCTCGGTCTATATCTTTATTCAAATATACAAATTTTGAGACAGGAAAGTGATTCATTTGTAATATTATTCTTTTAAATTGAAATAATCATGTATTGTATTGTATTATTTCAACTGTTTTAAAAAATACAGAACATTTTTTGTATAATTTTTTTTTCCAACTTTGGCAAATAAGGGGAAGCAACTCATATAACCTTACTTTTACTACAAAACATTTTTATAAATTACACCACTTTCCGCAAAATATATTTTTGTATAGTTTTAGTATGTTGTTCATAAATAGTAACAGACTTGTTTTTTCAGAGAAAAACTTTGTGTTGCAATTAGTTGCAGGTTGTTCACTAAATTGACTAGACTATAAGATCGAGACTTATAGTGTCGTTCGTCTTTGTGTTAGATGTGTTTTGGGTTTGTTTTTTTTTTTGTCGTGCTTCGTGCCAATCTAATGAGTCAAGCCACTCCCATTTCTAACTGATTTTTACAGTTTTGTTATGGTGTGCTTTAACACCACTGTTCAGGGGAGGGTGTGCTTTAACACCACTGTTCAGGGGAGGATCCAGCCATTTTTAAAAGGGGGGGTCCCAACCCAGGATAAAGGGGGGTTCCAACTATATGTCCCCATTCAAATGCATTGATCGTCAAAAAAAGGGGAGATTCCAACCCCTGGAATCCCCCCCCCCCCCTGGATCCGCCACTGACTGTTTCAGGTTAGGAGAAGGTCAAGCCTAGTGGTTGTTGATGGATGCTGTCTGTCATTTTTATTTTTCGTTTATTGTTTTGTAATTGTTTTGTAATAAATATGGATGTCTTTTTTTCTCAATTGAATTGTTCAACGTTTTGTCATGTCGGGGCCTTTAATGGCTGACTAAACGACATACGGGTTTTGCTCATTATTGGAGGCCGTACGGTAACCTATAGTTGCTTAAATCCGCGCTATTTGGACTATGTTGAACATTCGTCTCATTTGAAATGATACCACATCGCATTAGACTGCACTTACAATAATTTCCATCGTAAAAATATATCATAATGAGCACTGATCACACCTTCTACATTAAGTTTAGAAAGATATGATCATGGTTCTTTTTATTCTTTTCATAATACAAGTAATATGTAAAGGCTCCTAAGTTGCTTGCACGCGCTTAAGTGCCCAATATTTTTTAGAAACGCGCCTCTCTATTGTCAAAACCTAGCCATAAACCCATAGTTTATAGTAACTTTACCACATTCTTTGTGTGACTTCTTCAATTCGGGAGCCTGTAATTCAGTGATCGTCGTTGGTTACGGTCTGTTATATCTGTTTTTTGTTTTAACACGGTTTTCTCTTTTGAATCATTTCACATTGCGTCATGCCGGGTACTTTTACATCTTACTATACCGTATAGGTTTCTTTGTTCATTGTTGAAGATTGTATGGTGTCCTATAGTAGTTAACAGCCTCGCATGTTGGTCACTGTTGGATAGTTGTTTAATAGGCAATCATACCACATAATCCTTATTTGTATAGTGACCTGCATATATGCTGATACGAACTCACACCGTTCTACATTCTTACATCGGTGTCATTAAAACAGAACAACCAGTATGGGAAACCACGATGTTGTGCAAAGCTCAGAATAAAAAAAGTTTCAATGTTCAATGCAGAACAATTTAAAAATTGCAAACTATACAAATTTAAAAATAATTTCTTATAATAACATCATAAGAATCCGTACTTTTGATTGGCTGAAAAAAGTCACGAGGCATTCCAAAATAAAATTGTATTTCTCAATAAAATGCACGTCATAGACTTACAAGAGACAGAATAACAAACAACCAGGACACAGAGAGTCTGATCATTGCTCTTCGGATTGAAAAAAGGAATATGACCATTTGATAAGGAAAGAATTACGATTGTCTGCGATTCTTAGCAAGTTACAATATATGTTTATGAAAAAGGAAGACACAAATCTAACAGTCCTGACATGTGAACTTTAAGAGTTATGTCCCTTCGCATATATCTTTTCCCTTATAATCTGTACGATCTGAATAGAGCTCGATTTTACGTCTCGTTCAATATTACCAAGTGGCCGGGAATACGAACAAATAATACGGAAAAAAAGTTCAATGGTGAGATCAAACTCGTTGTATCAATCTTCTCTAAATGTATGTTTCAAATTATCACAACAAAACCACATAACATCGCAGTTTAAGTCGGAAATCCGCGAGTTCCGTCAAAAAGTATTTCTAACACGTACATACATATGATATAAAATTATAGAAAATTAATCAAAATATCTAGCTCTTGGAATGATGATGGCGAAAACAGTCGTAATTCAGTTTCCACTACTGTTCATTTTACTTTTGATTCAAAATGTATTGGCGCTTCATTCTGGTGTACATGGTGTATGTGGAAATCTGGAAGCAAAGATAGATCAGAATACTAAAATCTTACATGAAATTCTTAGGAAGATGAAAACAGGTAATTATATTTGTTTAAACAATTTTAGCATTGTATATGATTTGCTTTCTTTCATTTTAAAGAGGGAAAAGCTCCGGATACACCACAATTACAACCTGTTCTTTTCATTTTCTAGCACTGGGTCGATATCGCTGCAAGTGGACAGCTGGTACAGCTTCGGATCTTCCATGATTTAATTCCTACCTTTCTAAAAATCTCCGTAGATATCATTTTAATACACACAAACTAGTATCCATACCAATTGTCTGCCCTAACAAAAAAAAATTGAGGAACAAATCATGGTAACAAATGATAACCAAATCGTATGATTTCTTTATGATTTGAAAGTGATAAAATTTCACATGCAAATGAGCTAACAAATCACAGCAACAAATCACAAACAAATTGTTTCCAATTCATAAGCGAATCACAAACAAATTTTCAAGAAATCGTTTTGAAATCATTAACAAATCAGAGGTAATTTCTTTCCTACTTCAAGCAAATCACAAACAAATTGTTTTCAAATTATGAAGAAATTATCAACAAATTGTTATCAAATCTTTAACAAATCAGAAGTAAATCATATTTATACCTCAAGCAAGTCACAAACAAATTGTTTTCAAATTATGAAGAAATTATCAACAAATTGTTATCAAATCTTAAACAAATCAGAAGTAAATCATCTTCCTACCTCAAGCAAATCACAAGCAGATCGTCAACAAATTGACATCAATAATCAATTTACAGATTAAATTATTTACATCTAGATCAAAATATGTTCTGCTTCTGAGACCCCCAAACTTTGAAGTGCATTTGTCTTCATTTTACCTTAGCTCCTCCTCTCATTGTTAAGGGATTACTATCTCTGGTTGCCACGAGGGACGAAGTGTTCCCTTTGTGAAAGGTTTCTCTTACTTCTCCCGAATGTTAATCTTACGAGATTTGACAAACACATGGGCAACCACGTTTACTAGAAGGATATCGAATAGGCGATGGGTCTTAGTCTTGGTCCAAATCTGCTAATGTAGCTGTGCCCCTACAGCCCTGGACCTCGCCAGTAAACATCATGAAAAATAAAAACATAGAACTTGCCAGTGAATTTCGTCTTCTGACTCAGGGAGCTAGTCTTTAATTGCATGTCTCGATCTGTTTACACTTCTTTTACACATTTTAATTTTGAAAATTAATTCCTGGCAGTACAAAATGATTACAAGAAATTTTCCGAACACAGTTTCCGAATTTAAAAGGTCAACACCTTTGACATGTTTGAATAGTATTAATTGAATGTGTGAAATTATAAATAAATAACTGAGATTCCTTACCACTGTCATCATTGATAGTATTACTTACTCCTCATCTTGCAGTCTTCTTCGTTCAGTTAATGTAGAACAGTATTTGTAATTTGAATTTGAGCTCAACCGGAAGTCAGAGATATACATAAACCCAGAAAATTTTTAACAAATCAGAAGTTAATCATGATAATAAGAATCCAACAAAATTGTATTCATTGTAGCAAATCATCAATGAATCACACTATGATAGCTAACAGAATTAAATCATTTTCAAATCATTTCATATGATATTCTAAGTAAACAAATCATAAATAAATCACACATCATAGCTTACAAAATTAACAAATCTTTTTCAAATCATTTCATACGATATTCTAAGTAAACAAATCATAAAGAAATCACGTCAAAACAGAAACAAATTGCTTACAAATCATAAAATTGAAAGAAATCACAAAGAAATCAGGTTGGAGGAATTTGGCGAATTCTGATTTGTTTATTATAATTTCTTTAAAGAATCGCAAGAAAATGGTACTAACCAATCGCAGAATCACGATTTGAAAGAGATTTGAACACGATTTGAAAGCAATTTGTTCATGTATGTTTCTGTTTGGGTGTGTTTCTATTCAAATATGAATATCTCCATTTATAGTTGTCCTTCGACTGTTATTGTCTAATAAAAATATTCCTAAAGATCTGAACAAGTACACGTATAAAGGCCGACTTAGTTTATTGGGCTTATATAAAGCATAATCAAATAACTTTTTAATATATCACCCAATCATCGGCCTTAATATTTATGTTACATTTACATGATGTGTACGTTGAAGACTCTTTCATTGATGAATCAGTATAAGCAGAAGTCCATTACTAGGACTCTAGTAATGGACTTCTGGTATAAGTTAATAGTATAAATAAAATATTGTTCGTCTGCTTGACACATTTTCTGCTAATGATTTTATGCTAATTTAAAGGGAAGGCATGTCGTCTAACATTTTAATATTTTTGTAAATGTAACATATTTGCTGTTTTCTGCTCTTTGGTCGGGTTGTTGTCTCTTTGACACATTTCCCATTTCCATCCTCAATTTTATTGTATAGTTTATTGTTTATTTGTGTTTGTATTTAGTAGCAATCCGATTGTTTGGATTTTATACTATTAATACAATATCTGATCTGATCTTATCTTATCTGATACATGAGAGTGTGGATGGGGGTTAACAGAATAGGGAATAATGGGCAAAAAAAAAAGCATAGAGAAAAATGGATAAAAAAATAAAGAATAGAGAAAGAATAATGAGGTGCTAAAATATAAAGAATAGAAAATAATGGGCAAAAAGTATAAAGAATAGAGAAAAATGGCATAAAAATTAAAGAATACAGAAATAAAGATCCCCCATACAGACCCTCATACATTTCAATACATAATAATAGTTATATTGATGTTTGTTTTTCGACCAAAAAAGGAAACGACGAAAAACGAGACATATTTTGTGAGCAGTAGATTTCAGTACAATGTAATTTATTCTAGACTAAATGAAGCGGTTGGTTTATTTTCAGAAAGCAGGACTATATTAAGGGAAGTTGCTTACGGAAAACCATCTGAACAAAGTTCAGTCCATTCCGGGCTGTCTGCATCTAAAGCTGTTGATGGAAGTGTGAACACATATATGCACACAAACATAGAGCAATCCCCTTATTGGATGGTTGACTTGGGCAAAAATTATCAAATAAAGTGGATTGAAATCTTCAACAGAAATGAAGGATCCAAATCAACAGGTGAGTAAAAGTACCTGCACATGAACATGTAACAATAACTTAAAGAGTAAAAAATAAAAGATAAGGGAAAATATACCAACAAATAAAGAATAGAGAACAATGGGGTGCAGAAATACAAAGAATGGAAAATAATGGGCAAAATAGACAAAGAATAGAGAAAAATGGTCTAAAAAGTTAAAGAATAGAAAAATGAAGGACCCCTACACACGTATATCCATTCACTCTAAAACTCATTTAGAATTGGAACTGATTGACTTCCATTCACGGTAATGTTTGTCGAGCTGCTAAACCTGTTACAACCTACACATTTTTTTTTAAATGTCGACAGAACTTAGTCAGTTAGGATGCACGGAGGGTCTCAATATATATATATATATATATATATATATATATATAAGTGCCTATAAATAGCAGCACATGACATACAAATCTATGGGAGTGTGGATTAATCAGTACAGAGATTAATTCAATTACACAAATAAAATTATAGATTGCCTAACAATGTAATTTTAACACACTATTAAGTATGTAAATATAAGAATGTTTAAAATATTTACAAAATGATGAAAATAAACGCAATATTTCGCTAGACTAACTAGCTTCATCAAGCGTGCATCTATCCAGGTGAAATCGGATGTAGATGATAAGAAACGTTTGCAGCTCAATGTATATGTTGCACTTGAATTTAGCTGCCTTGAAAATAATACATAATTTGGATGAAGTTCAAGATTTTTACAAAATTGGTAGTTGAAGTTAGCAACGTCCATTGGCCAATATTACAGTATAAAAAGGACGATGCTGTGTACTAAATTATTCTTTATCTTTCCTGTATCTTTTCTCATCTTCTTCGTTAAGACCATCAGGTTCTAAAGTGTGGAGTTGGTGGATCCAAAAATTTTCTCTTCTCCTTCTCGCCGTGGTGTCCCACTCGGTGTTGACTTCTATGATTTGGAAGGTAACATTATCAAAAGAATGTTTCGTTGAACGAAGATGTCTTGTGAGAGGACAGTTTTTGTTGGTTTTGTACCATGAACGATGGTTATTGAGCCGAATATTAAATTTGTCCATTGTTTCTCCCACATACTGAATGCCACATGTGTCACATGTTAATATATAAATTGAGTTCTCCGTTTTACAGTTGGAATTTGAGTAGATGGTATAATTTTGTTTAGTAACGGAGCTGATGAAAGAACTGCTTGTATTGGCAGCTTTACAACACAAGCAGTTCCTTCGACCACATTGTTTGTAGCAACCGGGAGATGGAGTAGGCTGCTTTGCTAATACAGATGTCACTAATTTGTCACGGATGTTTTTAGGTCTTCTGAAGGCCATGACTGGTGGTGAGGAAAATACTTTTTTAAGATTTGAATCATTTTCTATAATTTTCCAATGCTTCTGAACAATGGAAGACACAGTTTTAAAATCAGGATGGTAAGTGAGTACAAGGGGTGTTCTGTTAGCCGCTTTATTCTTATCTTTGTACTCTAGAAGTTCTTGGCGACTAGTTTTGTTTGCTCTTTCGAAAGCGCTATCAATGATGTTGTTATTGTATCCTCGAACAACTAGATGTTTACGTAGTTGTCCAAGTCTAGCATTTTGCGTATTTTCAGTAGAGCATATTCTCTTGATTCGCAATGCCTGGCTGAATGGGATGCCACGGGAGCAGTGTTTAGGATGGCAACTTTTAGGAGAAAGGAATTGATGTATGTCCGTTTGTTTGGTATGAAGGTCCGTTATAATGGTTCCGTTCTTGATGTAACTCGTAGTGTCGAGGAAGTTTATTTTCTCCATAGATGATTCATATGTAAATTTTATTGAATGGTGGAAAGAGTTACAGTGTCCTAGAAATTCATTAAGATGTTCTTGTGAATCTGTCCATTTGAAATCAATATCGTCAATGAATCGGAACCATGATAAGGGCTGGTATGGAGCACTAGCCAAGAGGCGTTTTTCAAGTTGGCCCATAAATATGTTGGCATATGATGGGGCCATTTTTGTGCCCATAGTAGTACCGTCTATCTGGAGATAATGTTTTTCATTGAAAGAGAAGTTGTTGTTCTCTAGCACTAGTTTCAGAAGTGTAACAAGGCACTCAGTTGGAGGATTTTTTTCACTACGAGTGTTCCATACCTCTTCACACGCTGCTATTCCTTCGTCTTGTGGAATGTTGGTATATAAAGAAGACACGTCCATGGATGCAAGTATAGTATTGCTTGGTAGAGGATTGAGGCTTTCCATTTTCTTTAGATAATCAGTCGTATCTTGGATGTAAGAGGGTAGTTCTTTCACATGAGGTCTTAGATGATGGTCTAAAAATTCTGATATCTTTTCAGTTGGATGACTATTTGCTGAAACAATTGGTCGACCTGGATTGCCCGTTTTATGTATTTTAGGCAACATATAGAATCTTCCGGCCTTTGCTTCGTTCTCAAGAGGTCGGAGATAATCAAAGGTGTCATTGTCTATATGCTTTTTGTCGAACATCTCTTGAAGGATGGTGTTGATCCTTCGAATATTATTTAGTGTTGGATCTGTGGTTAATTGTTTATAAAAAATGGAGTTTGAAAGTTGGCGATTTCCCTCTGCTATGTAATCTGTTTTATTCATGACAACCACAGCGCCCCCTTTGTCGGCAGGTTTTATTACGATATCCTCTTGATCTTTTAACGCTTTCAAAGCAATGCTTTCTGACTTGGATAAATTATAATTTCTTGTATTTGTTATACAGGACTTTATATCAGACCTCACGTAGTTAATGAATGACTCCAAGTTATCATTTTTACTCTTAGGTGGTTTCCATGAACTTTTTTTCTTAAATTTTGGGATGGGCGTGACTTCTTCATTGGTGTCAGTATCTGAATCTGTTAATCCAGCTTCTTCAAGGTTTTTCTTGCCCCTATTGTAGAAAAAATCTTTCAAGCGTAAACGTCTAGCGAATTGGTCTAAGTCCTCGTCTAGCTGAAAGTTATTTACATTTGATGGGATAGGACAGAAGTTTAAACCTTTACTTAAAAGAGATTCTTCAGCACGTGTAAGTTCTTTAGATGACAAATTTACAACAATGCTTTCAGTTTTTTGTTTCCGTCTTTTGAATTTTCTTTTTCTAGGGACCTTATGGTTTGTTGTATTGATATCATTCATATCCTGATTTAAATAGACAGTGTGAATTTTATCTCTTTGAAATTTATTCCTTTGTTTTTCTTTATGTTTGGATAGTTCAATTTTTTCAATATCTGCGAGGCGACGTTTAATTATTGGTAAATCGTCACGTGAAATGTTACTATTGTTGATGATATCTGATATTTCATTTACAATTTGTTTGTAATTTGTGGTTGTAAAAGAAAGTAACAGTTGAAGTAGCTGGATTGAACAGTTAAACAGAATTTCATTCCAACGGCTCATGAATCTTTTGGATTTATGTCCCGGTGCCTGGGGACTCACTTTGATGTTTAAACCTTTTGGTACAGTTCTACTTTGAATATATTTTTTTAAGTTTGATAAATGATGTTCAGTTTGTAGTTTCTTTTTAGTTAAAGATCTTAATTTCTTGAAATGCAGTGCTCTATCCATGTTGTAAAGATAGCGATAGATTTGAATGGATTACACAAACATTTGTGAAATGCGTACTACTGAAGATAATAATATAAGTGCCTATAAATAGCAGCACATGACATACAAATCTATGGGAGTGTGGAATAATCAGTACAGAGATTAATTCAATTACACAAATAAAATTATAGATTGCCTAACAATGTAATTTTAACACACTATTTAGTATGTAAATATAAGAATGTTTAAAATATTTACAAAATGATGAAAATAAACGCAATATTTCGCTAGACTAACTAGCTTCATCAAGCGTGCATCTATCCAGGTGAAATCGGATGTAGATGATAAGAAACTTTTGCAGCTCAATGTATATGTTGCACTTGAATTTAGCTGCCTTGAAAATAATACATAATTTGGATGAAGTTCAAGATTTTTACAAAATTGGTAGTTGAAGTTAGCAACGTCCATTGGCCAATATTACAGTATAAAAAGGACGATGCTGTGTACTAAATTATTCTTTATCTTTCCTGTATCTTTTCTCATCTTTTTCGTTAAGACCATCAGGTTCTAAAGTGTGGAGTTGGTGGATTCAAAAATTTTCTCTTCTCCTTCTCGCCGTTGTGTCCCACTCGGTGTTGACTTCTATGATTTGGAAGGTAACATTATCAAAAGAATGTTTCGTTGAACGAAGATGTCTTGTGAGAGGACAGTTTTTGTTGGTTTTGTACCATGAACGATGGTTATTGAGCCGAATATTAAATTTGTCCATTGTTTCTCCCACATACTGAATGCCACATGTGTCACATGTTAATATATAAATTGAGTTCTCCGTTTTACAGTTTACATCCAAGATACGACTGATTATCTAAAGAAAATGGAAAGCCTCAATCCTCTACCAAGCAATACTATACTTGCATCCATGGACGTGTCTTCTTTATATACCAACATTCCACAAGACGAAGGAATAGCAGCGTGTGAAGAGGTATGGAACACTCGTAGTGAAAAAAATCCTCCAACTGAGTGCCTTGTTACACTTCTGAAACTAGTGCTAGAGAACAACAACTTCTCTTTCAATGAAAAACATTATCTCCAGATAGACGGTACTACTATGGGCACAAAAATGGCCCCGTCATATGCCAACATATTTATGGGCCAACTTGAAAAACGCCTCTTGGCTAGTGCTCCATACCAGCCCTTATCATGGTTCCGATTCATTGACGATATTGATTTCAAATGGACAGATTCACAAGAACATCTTAATGAATTTCTAGGACACTGTAACTCTTTCCACCATTCAATAAAATTTACATATGAATCATCTATGGAGAAAATAAACTTCCTCGACACTACGAGTTACATCAAGAATGGAACCATTATAACGGACCTTCATACCAAACAAACGGACAAACATCAATTCCTTTCTCCTAAAAGTTGCCATCCTAAACACTGCTCCCGTGGCATCCCATTCAGCCAGGCATTGCGAATCAAGAGAATATGCTCTACTGAAAATACGCAAAATGCTAGACTTGGACAACTACGTAAACATCTAGTTGTTCGAGGATACAATAACAACATCATTGATAGCGCTTTCGAAAGAGCAAACAAAACTAGTCGCCAAGAACTTCTAGAGTACAAAGATAAGAATAAAGCGGCTAACAGAACACCCCTTATACTCACTTACCATCCTGATTTTAAAACTGTGTCTTCCATTGTTCAGAAGCATTGGAAAATTATAGAAAATGATTCAAATCTTAAAAAAGTATTTTCCTCACCACTAGTCATGGCCTTCAGAAGACCTAAAAACATCCGTGACAAATTAGTGACATCTGTATTAGCAAAGCAGCCTACTCCATCTCCCGGTTGCTACAAACAATGTGGTCGAAGGAACTGCTTGTGTTGTAAAGCTGCCAATACAAGCAGTTCTTTCATCAGCTCCGTTACTAAACAAAATTATACCATCTACTCAAATTCCAACTGTAAAACGGAGAACTCAATTTATATATTAACATGTGACACATGTGGCATTCAGTATGTGGGAGAAACAATGGACAAATTTAATATTCGGCTCAATAACCATCGTTCATGGTACAAAACCAACAAAAACTGTCCTCTCACAAGACATCTTCGTTCAACGAAACATTCTTTTGATAATGTTACCTTCCAAATCATAGAAGTCAACACCGAGTGGGACACCACGGCGAGAAGGAGAAGAGAAAATTTTTGGATCCACCAACTCCACACTTTAGAACCTGATGGTCTTAACGAAAAAGATGAGAAAAGATACAGGAAAGATAAAGAATAATTTAGTACACAGCATCGTCCTTTTTATACTGTAATATTGGCCAATGGACGTTGCTAACTTCAACTACCAATTTTGTAAAAATCTTGAACTTCATCCAAATTATGTATTATTTTCAAGGCAGCTAAATTCAAGTGCAACATATACATTGAGCTGCAAACGTTTCTTATCATCTACATCCGATTTCACCTGGATAGATGCACGCTTGATGAAGCTAGTTAGTCTAGCGAAATATTGCGTTTATTTTCATCATTTTGTAAATATTTTAAACATTCTTATATTTACATACTAAATAGTGTGTTAAAATTACATTGTTAGGCAATCTATATATATATATATATACAAATGTGGGAACAGATCTAGATGTCCAGCTGGGACTTAATCATAACCCATTCATATATATATATATATATATATATATATGTATATAGACATACAATCTGCACATGACATAATAAGATGTTAACCACACGGGGTCATTATTATTAATTACATAAAAAGGTCAGGACACAGTTTGTACAGACATCTCATAAAAAAAAATTATGACCCATTGACATATTAATTTCTACGCATTGTTATATAAAATCCGTTAAATTGCACCCAATTGATATATTTGACATACCAAATGAAAAAAAGTAACCCAGTCATGGCACTTATGTGTACTCCTTTATATAATCCATATCCTAATACAAGCTGGTCGAACACATTACTTAATGCTGGGTAAATTAGTATATAAGCAGTTAAAACAAGATGTTGCATAATTATTTTTTTTCAGTTAAAAATTTCCTATAACATGTATAATATATTATTTTGTTTTAGGAGAACGTCTTCGTAACTTGGACATTATTGTTGGCCGATCACACAATGAAATGCATCTATGTGCCCATTACGTTGGACCGGCACTACTCGGAGCTCATCTTCGATTTGAATGTGGACATGACGAAAATGCACGTTATGTAAAACTGATGTTGAAAAGAAGAGATTACTTGCATGTCGCAGAGGTCAAAGTTTATGCAGTGGATGACAGATCTAGCTAAATAAGATCTAGAAATACAAAGAACAGAGTAGCTGCATATTCATGATCTTGGAAAAATCACGTTGTCCATTAGAATAATAAAATTATTTCAGCTTTGCATTTGTTATTGAGTTTATCATTCAAGCTTAAACGAGTATTGATTAGATGGATCTAGGTTAGGACATTGGTCTACAATCTAAAACATCTAGTGAATTTATATTTTGATGAGAAAATTTGCCTAGAAAATGTGTTTTTGAAGTAAAAAAGAAGCCTTTTAAGTATAGATATAATATATCTGACGTGTTATAATTTGATGAGGACATTAGTTTGCCTATTACAAAAGAAGCATTGATTATAATTCGCATTTCAAACAAGTGCACTTTCATTTCATTATTAAAGGTTTTACAGTGTGTTATTATTTTACGACACACGTTTTAGATAGAAAAAAAAACGAGAAGGTTTGTGTGCACGTAAAACTGGTTTATTCCCACCTCATGTTTGCCAGTCCAAAAGCAAGCTATATTTTGTTCTTATGTTGTACTGTTACACCACTGTCCCAGGTTAGGGTAGGGTTGAGCGCTCACAAATATGTTTAACCCCGCCACATTCTTTATGTGCCTGTCCCAAGTCAGGAGCCTGTAGTTCAGTGGTTGTCGTTGGTTCATGTCCGTCATATTTGTTTTTCGTAAATTGCTTTGTTATAAATTAGGCCGTTATTTTTCTCAATTGAATTGTTTTATATTTTTCATGTCGGGGCCTTTTATAGCCGACCATACGGTATGGGTTTTTCTCATTGTTGAAGGCCGTACGGTTGCCTATAATTGCTAACATCCACTTCATTTGAACTTTGGTGGATAGTTGTCTCATAGGCAATCATACCACATCTCCTTATTATTATATAGACCATCTTTTATTATTGTTGGTTGCCTATGTTGTACTCTCTGGAATTTTGTCGTAGGAGCCAGTGTTGATGGTTGATATAATATGTTGTACTCTCTGGCCAGGGTTTTTTAATGTGTTGGTTTACGAATTTTTCATGTGAAAATGTCGGGTCAGGCGGTCGGAAAAAAAAATAAACAAAAAATTCTTTCAAGGCAGAAAAATATGTATAAATTTGATAAATATTTCAGCTTACTAACAATAGTTTTGGTACGCTTTTTCTTAATTTTTAGTTCCAAACATTATTGCACAGCTGTTTCAAACGTACAATGCATACCACCGCCACATAAATTTGTAAAAAGGGGGTATGTCCACGGGCAATCAGGAAACAAATGGTCATTTCACGAACGAAAAAAAAAGTTCAAACCAGCTACTGGTTGCTTTTTATAAACTTTCAGGAAATATATTAATAAACTTCAAGCACGAAAACATGTGAAATAAAAGTTGAAAACACGTCGCACGAAAGTAAAACTTGACCATCCATGTCGTAAACGAAGTAGACGCGTCCAATGGAAAAACGAGGATACCGGTTTCATCCGTTGGCAGGCAATTTCGCTTTGATATCCAAACGGAAAACTTGAAGATTCCAAATTGGTTGTTACTTTTAAATTGACGTCTTTCCCGTTTGGACGGGTCCATTGTCCATTTCATCTATGAGATGAAAAATTTTACGGAATTATGAAAAAAGTGGGAAACCAAACTTATGGTACATGTGTAATTGGCTTTTAACATAGATTCCGTTTCGCAAAACTATTTGCGTAAACAACATTTCACGGTCAGTTTTGATTGTCTATTTTTAGGCACACAAACACATCGGATTATTTTTAGAGTTTTTAATATTTTTTAAGACGTTTTAACATGCTAAAATAATGCACTTAATATCGGGAAAAAGTTGCTACAGATATTTATATTTTTATTTCAGGGACAATGTATTTGTTAGGGTCGGCGGGAATAAAAAAGCATATTTTTTCCCTGAAAATCGGAAAAAAAGGGTCGGCGGATCCGTAACCAACAAATTAAAAAATTCTGGCCTAAGATGGTGTTTTTTTCTTATGATTAAAGGAAGACTAAATTTAAAAATTTAATTTGAAAAAATAATAAAGAATGAAAGAAAGTGATGGGGAAATGGTGGCTACAAGAGTTTCACAATGACAATGAGAAGAATGATGCTATCTTCAAATAAAGGCTGAGCACAATACTGAATAATGTAAAATTATGATTTCATGGCTTTTATATAACGGTGCATTTTTAATTACCCGGAAATTCCGCTTGTTTTAAATTTTCGCTATGTTTATTGTATCCATTTTATCAAGATATTAACTCAAAATAATGCAAATATTTCACTAGTTATTTAAATATTTTGTACAAGAGCAAGAATGTAGCTACCCTGTGTAGGACCGTAGGACCTAAACTGCAACAAAACACAACGCAAATATAACTCGAAATACAGTAGTTAGACGAAACAAGTTAAATAACGGCAAAACAGCTGAAAAACCTTTGAAATGACAAATGGCAAATATATAACACAAAAATAAACAACACATGCACCCTAAATCTTTAATCTAATTATTATGTATACCTGAACTAGCGTCATGTTATTTTTAAAATGTAATATTATAATTTAAGTGTTTTAAGTGTATTATCATTTAAGTGCATTTATCTATAAAAAGATGGTATACAAATGTAAATAGAAACGTAATTAGGAGGGGGATATATGGTGGTAAAAATCATAATCGCATGAATTCTAAACAGAATTTTAGTCCAGATGAAACGAAATGGTAGCACTCATACTTCCTGATATATCATACGTTTTCAAAGTCATTTCCGGTAGAAAATTTTAAAAAGTCAGGAACATTGTGACACAGCTTATTAAGTCCGCGGGACACTTAACTTAACATTTCTTTCAGTTAGTGTTGAAATATTCAATTTCAACTGTTTTTAGAAAGTTAGACAATGTAACAAACTGAATTGCAAGCACTCACAATTAAAAGCCCTTTAACTTCGTTATTGATTTGGCCCTTCAAATGTTGATTCTAGTGCCATTAATGACTTTTATGTAGACGAAACGTATGTTTTACACTATGGTTTTACACAAGTCATTTTGGGGCCCTTTATAGCTTGCTGTTCGGTGTGAGTCAAGGCTCCGTGTTGAAGGCCGTACTTTGACCTATAGTGGTTTACTTTTACAAATTGTGTCTTGGATGGAGAGTTGTCTCATTGGAACTCATACCACATCTTCTTATATCTATCTACTGACGTACTAAATTATAAATCTGGTATCTTTCATGAGATTTAGAATCACTTGCATGCTGATGGACGCTTTGTCATCGAGAGTATCACCTGTCCATGCCATTATTCAGCGCTTCCTTGCTGGCATGAAATATCTCTGATACATCATTTTCTGTATATTTATTGCTAATATTAAAGTTCTAAACAATTTGAATTACTAAGGTTTTGTCTACCCCAGGCAAGATTTTAGGTTTTTAGGTTTAGGCACACTAATGACGTACTTGAATTTGTAATCATTTTAAAATGGCTGAAAATAGTCGTCTAAGATCTTCACTTCAAGACAATTCATGCAGAGTTTGCAACTACTGTGAAACAGGAAGTAAATGTAAATATATCTCCACTATATGTCACTGACTGACTTATTCAATTAAGAATAGCTAATTGTCAAAGCGTATATTATCAGTTGGATTTCCCACGCGAGCATAAAGTGACTGGTGTATTGCTTACATTTTCATGTTACTAGTAAGACTTTTTTGTAAAAGAGAAACGAAAGATATCAAAGGGTCATTCAAACTAAAAAGTCGAAAATAAACTGACAACGCCATGGCAAAAAAATAAAAAGACCAAAAGACAAACAACAGTATACACAACACAATATAGAAAACACAAGACTGTGCAACACGAACCCCAACAAAAACCGGGGTGATTTCAGGTGCTCCGGAAGGGTAAGCAGATCCTGCTTCACATGTGGCACCCGTTGTGTTGCTTATGCAAGTATAAACCCGGTGATAAGTCTTATTCGACGAAACGTGAAAAAGAGGCGAATGATACCAATGAAATATTCAAACTCATTAAACAAAAACAAACTGACAATGCTATGCAAAAAACAAACGAAAAACGACAAAAAGACAAACAGGAGTACACAAAACATAACATAGAGAACTAAAAACTGAGCAACACGAACCCCACCAAAAACCGGGAGTGATCTCAGGTGTTCAGAAGGGTTAGCATATCCTGCTCCGTATACGACAACCGTCGTGTTACTTCTATAAAATACGTTTATAAGTTTTATCAAATTATTAGGAATCACAAAATAGCGGATTGGTAATTGACTCCGTAAGACATCTCCAAAGTAATAAATCATCTCTCAAGTAAATGTCCTATCCCTGAAATTTGACTGACTATGACATTTTAAAATAGAAACACGTATTTCAAGACATATGATACACGGTATAAACAACACAGACATTTGAAACTTAAAAAGCACGAACCCCAACATCAAAACTATGGCAAGAGCAACACGAACCCCTTTTAAGCAAACTAGGGGTGATCTCAGGTGTTTCGGAACGGTAAGCAGATCCTGTACTACATATGGCACCCGTTGTGTTGCTCCTATGAGTACACCCCAGGTGGTAAGTCTAATTCGGGGGCTCGGTAGATCAAATTCGAGGAAAGGAGGACGGGGTTGTAGTCAAGACAATTGGAACATATCTGTCGTTATCTGTGAAACAGATATTCCTTAAAAGTCAACCAACTCGTGATGACGCCCGTAAAATTTTCGAAGGAATGATTTTAACTTTAAACTTGGAACGTATCAAATGGAAGATATATACTCCATATGGTACATAGAAATGGAAAGTTCACGATTGGGAAGCTGAAATCATCTTTTTTGTCAGAAGGATTTGTTCTCAATCGATCCTCATTGTCAATTTTTAGACGTAAGTCAAGAAATGATGCAAACTTAACTGTATCTGTTGCATTCTTTGTTAAGTTCGATAGTATAGATGCGTTCAACATAGTTACCAAACTTTATGATGTATTTAGTGAGAAAAAGAAGTAAAAGAAGAGAAATGTCTCAAGTTTAAACAGAAACGAATTATTTCACAACGTGATTATTAGAATTTACCCAATGGGAAAAATTTCGAATATTTCACATATAAAACTTATAAAATTAGACAAGTAGAATGTTGATTTGAAAGTGTAATTATAAAAAAACTAACAAGGAATCATTATAAGGGATATAAAAACTGATTAGATTGGGGATGATTAAAAAAAAAGAAACATGGAGAAGTAAATAAAGATATAAATTTCGGAATGAATGTGGCACTCTGAATATCAAATAGATATAGGAAGATGTGGTATGAGTGCCAATGAGACAACTCTTCATCCAAGTTACAATTTATAAAAATAAACCATTATAGGTCAAGGTACGGCCTTCAACACGGAGCATTGGCTCACACCGAACAGCAAGCTATAAAGGGCCCCAAAAAATTACTAGCGTAAAACCATTCAAACGGAAAAAGTCCGTTAATTAAGGTATGTATCTACAATATCCATGTTCATAAAAAAAAAAAAAATGGAATTATATTTTTACAGTATCAATTCAGTAAAATGCATTGAAATGAATGTATTATTATTAATACCAGTCAAGTATCTAATATACATGTATAAACAATTGGAATTGTTTTATTTGTGTGGTAGATTTATGATATCAAAATATATCAGAGATATCAGAGATAAACCGTAATAAAAAATAAAATCTTTTTTATTGTAATGTGTTTATTGGCAAAAATACATGTATAAATATTAATGGTATAAATTATAAATAATTTTACGGTAATTAATATAATCCATAGTTACATCGGCAAAATCAAGACAAATACATATAGTTGGTTCTTTGAATCATTTGACAAACTAATAAATAAATGGTAAAAACCCAGACAGTCCGGATTGGGAGAATATTTTTATTTCTTAAAAGTTTACTTGTTTAATTATTCTATTAGTCAGAGCCAGGGGTTCCTGCAAGAGGACGCTCTTTGTGATGCTTTATTTTTATAAATATGATTTTTTTCAATTAACACATTTTCTCTAAGATATTTTTTTAAAGCTACAATATTTACTTGTCCGCTTTTCATTTTTGTTCTGTATATATGATATTTAGTTAACAACATAATGGGGTTTCTTATGTTTTTTTCCAGTTTTTTTCTAATATCTCAAATAAAACTATGCCTTAGTCCAATTTGTTCTTTTTATACATCCATCTGTTAAGTTCTTCCCAAACGTCAAATATAATTTTGAAGAAGTCCAAACCAAAAATAATCTCCTTCTACACACACCCGACAACGAAAGTCCAAATGAATTTTCAAAATTCTCTGCAGATTTTTAGCTGAAGATGAAGTGACGTATGTCCTCATATACCAACAAGGGAGAAAACTTATGAATTCGTTATTTCACAATCAGAGATATTTATGCAGGATTCCAAACAAAACCATACTAAATTTGTCAATACACATTTATTTTGTTATCACTAGATTAGAAACATGTATAATGTATATGACTCGGACAAGATCAATTGCAAAATGCAAAATTACCATTAAGTTTACGATCAATCCTATAAAATGAATCATAAAAATGGTACAAAAAGGGTACGAGCTGGTAGAAATTGCGAGTTGGTAAAAGTACGAGTTGGGAGAGATACGAATCGTCGTGTACCCATAAAAAGTGAAATAACAAAAATATCGAACTACAAAGGAAAATTAAAAACGAAAAGTCCGTTATCAAATGGAAAAATCAAAAGCTCAAACACATCAAATGAATGGTTTACAACTGTCATGTTACTGGCATTTCCCTGTGTAGAAAATGGTGGATTAAACCTGGTTTTATTGCTAGCTAAACCTCTCACTTGTATATTTGTATGACAGTTGCATAAAATTCCAATATATTGACAACAATGTTTCAGCAAAACAAACAGACATACTAGGTAAACATGTCAATAACATTGGGGTATGGTGCTAATATAATTCAGATAAATACTTCAATGAACTTAAAAACTTAAACAAACTACCAAATGAACAATGCTGTATTGCTGTTTTATGTTCAAAGATACTATCAATGTATTCAACAATGACATATAAAACTCATTCGCAACAAAATAAAGAAAAAATCAAAACAACGTCGGCTTGGTCTTACTCTGATATTCAGCGACATTTTGAAGGAACATATAGCACCACACGGGTTCTTTGTGAATGAAAGGGTATAAAGGCCGACTCAGCGTATTGGAGTTATATAAACCATATTCAAATATCATTTAACTCTTCAACTGCGTAATTTATTTGACTTTTTTATTATTCGAGCGGCACTGATGAGTCTTTTTGTAGACGAACTGTGCTGCGCGTCTGGCATACGCAATTTTAAGCCTGGTATCTTTGATTAGTTTATAACATAACACCTGATCATCCACCTTAATATTAATGTGATATTTACATGCTACTAAGCGTTGAAGACATTATGTAGCTTTCATTATAATGTAGTTTTAAACTTAATAAGCTATTTTGACATATCGGTATCTTTGTGGATCTCATGAACAGTAAGCCGTAGAGACATAATGTCTCGTGATTTGAGATTCCTTAGTCTATATTTGGAAAATGAAGTCAACGCCAAAGGTTAAGGTCATGTTCTTAATTCTAACCTTTAATTGTGAAGACATGTTCGCCGACAATTTAATTACATTTACGATACCAATTGTTCTGCACCAGAAGCGCATAGATAAACGATAGATATAAAAAAAAATATTATCAAGTTTTGATACGACATTTGAACAGAAGCACACGTAGCCAGCAGTAAACTTGGTATATCATAATACGTCGCGTAGATGACGGTCTTATAGAAATACCACAAAATCGCCAAAACTTACGAGACGTAACCTGTTTATTAGTGACAGACGTGAACATATAAATACCACAACACAGTTTTTTTAAAATTTTACATAGATCAATGATTTTCAATTGAAATCATTAACGTTGTACAATGTAAAATATATTTAATTTTTCATCAATACAAGCTAGGTTTAAATGTATAATCATCGTTGACCGACATACCTGAATGCTTATTGATAGTAAATTAATTATCTCCCTTTAAATTTGTTCTATGTTGTGCATAGTTGTAGATTGAAACAAACATACGGCTGTCTGGTTTATATATAAACTCCACTAACAATGTGTTATTTAAAAGACATGAACTACATATCAGTTTTCATTAATGCCATTGTTGTAGCACTAATGGCCATGTACGTATACCAGAACGAAAGAAGAATGGAGGAAATGGCTGCCAAGCATAATCAAACAGGTAAGGAGAAATCTGCACATGTATTTTTTACTTATTGTTTAGACTTCCTTGTTAATAAAGAAAACATACATTAAACGATCGTGAAGTACCTGTATGTATTTATAATGTTCATTGACTTTAAATATTATTGTTCCCATAAATAGTCCATGTCACAAATGTATGTCCGTACTCAACATGCTCAAAGACATGGATATAAACCAACAAGTGCTGTGAAAGCATAACAATCCGGAATTTGTCCGTCACTGGCAACACAAAATCATAAAACATTATTATTCCGCTATTGCCAGTGATAAACATGATAAATGTAAATGCTGCAAATTCCACTCATACTATGTTTCCAATACCAAACATTGTATTGTTTAATGTTATATTATATGGATTAATAAGTTGATAAAGAAAGATTGCAAAGTGTGAAAACACAGCGGTCCCTGTTTTCATATCGTAAGAAAACAATTTGTTATTACCATACTGTTTATGTCGCAGGGGCTTTTATCATAGATGTTTTTGGGGCGGAAATATATGCCAGTCGACTGGAATGCGTTCTACATTGTGTTTATATCCCCCCCCCCCCCCCCCCCCCCCCAAAAAAAAAACAACAAAAAAACATGTATGATATAAGCCCCTGTCGTTTTATGCGAATGAATGCATTGTCATGATTTGATCCAGCATAAAATTACGTTTCGATATTTTTTACACTTCATATATATCCTAATTTCTAATTTAAAATGAAATATAACATTTCCAAATCTATATCCCTTATAGCTTGCTTAGAAGTTTGATATCTTTATGTATACATTACTTTGCTTCAATTGTATTTCTATTGTTGAACCAAAGTTTAATCTAAGTAAAAGTAATAGTGTCAAACATTTCAAAATGATGCATTCAATCATATTTCGCGGAATTTTTGTGGGAATATTTTTTACAAGCAATTATATTTAGGAATCGATTTCACTGTCTATTATTTATAAAGGTTTACTATATTTGTAAGGCTGTTTTCGCGCATATGTAAGGGGTTACAGCAGCAAAATATCTTTTTGTTATTCTCAAACATTTCCGTGTAGTTAATTCTTATTTTTTTTATATATTAATTTATATCGAAGAAAACGATCAAATCATCTAGTCACGTTTTGAATCACGACAACAAGTTTCGTTTATTACTGATCTGTATTTGAATTCTGTATATAAACTTAGTACAGCAACATTGGATTAAATTGTATTTTGTCTTTGTTATATGAAACCTAAACGCTGTACAACAGCCAATAGTAGAGTGAAATAAGAGTAAGCATGCTTTCTCTATCAGCACAAAACGTATTTCAACTTTTCTGAGATGATCTGAGGTATTTTTAGTTTAATATTTCATTCGGATATTAACAATAACAAAAACAATATATATCTGTCTGTTAAAAGAGGAGAAGGTAAAATGAGATCAATTTGTTGGCCCCTGCAATTGCAAAATAAGTAAAATTCTTCATGTCTTTCAAAATTACATTTAGGTAAAGAAATTAATTGATATAATCTGGACACTTTTAAAGTGCAGCCATATCAGTTGTGATGTTACTATGATGTGATAAACATATCTGATCTACAACAACTGCTCTTTTACGCATAGTGTTTAGAACATAATATATATGAGACAAGGCCTTACTTCCCAAAATATTGACCTACATTAACATCATTGAGAAAGACATTTTAGATATTAAAACATCTTTCAGGGGTAAGGCGCTTGCTATAGATTCCGTTTCTAAGGCCACACTTAAAAATAGTTTAGTGTGCCCAAACCCTACCCAAAGGTAAAGAAAGTGGGTAGGTAGGTAGTAGGCATTTTATTTTTTTCGGCAAAGAAAAATCGAAGTGTCAGAAATTTTAGTCTTCATGTTTATCTGATTAAAAAAAGACTTTTCACATCAGGACAATAAAAGATTTTGAGTAGGCAGCTATTTTCTGGGTAGGTAGGGTTAGGGCAGACAAACATATTCTTTTTTATGGCCTTTGTATTAATGATAAGATCTCAGAATGAGCTTATTTTGCAGTTTTGCATTAAATGCTAGTTAAGTTTTAGTAAAAATGGAACTATCTCTATTTTTAACGTTTTCTCAGGTGTTAATGCATAAAAAAATTCTACCATATACATTGCACGATGCAGTATAATATATCAACCTGAAAGACAGCTTTTACTTGAACATCGTAGTCCATTGACATTTACTGTTTATATATACATGTAAATCATTGTAGGGCTATTATTTCTCATCATAGAATTATACACCAAATGGTACAAACAATAGAAAGAATTTGCTAAACAATGACATTTTCAAAACATAGTAAAGTACTGAAATTTATAGAATGTAGCCACAAACTGCGTTTCCTTTTAAACCTAATGAATAAAAACGAAGGAGTAGGGGGCTATAATGGCCTAAAATGGCCCAAGATTTGCAAAATGGTAAAAATGTAAACCGAGCAGATTTTCCTCCAATTATCATTAGAATATGAGTCAATGATTTGAAAAAAAAACTGTTTTTATCTAACAAAAAAAGATTTAATGACGTTCCAATGGTAGGTGCAAATAACGTCATAATCGGAAAAATAGGCCAAATTACAGAAATCGGGATGGTTTGCCCGAGGGCATCATTAACTTGGTAGCTTAATGTATGATGAATACAAAGAAAACAGAGAACAAACCGGCTAGGACGTCGCCCAGGTTACCAAGGTCCTCTTCTGCTACACGGAACACTGTAGCATTTGATTTGTGTGTTCCACGGAATATCCTTCGGGATACCCCTGATTTGACTTGTGTTCAGCCAGAAGGTAATTACTTCTTTAAAAATTCAGATACTTTTCAAAAATTAAAACCATGTACCGTTAATATTTTCGACTGTTTAAAGACACCTGCTACAAGTGAATCAACTCCTATCATTTCTTCTTGTAAACATAAAAAAGGAAAAAGGAGCACGTGTAAGACATGTAATATTTTATTCACGACTCCTGATTTCACTAGTAACTTAACAGAAAAAACTTGTTATACTAAATCTTTTGAGCCTCTGGACTGTTCCACGGACAATGTCGTTTATGGAATTGAATGCACTTTGTGTAGACTACTTTAAGTTGGTGAAACTCGACAAACTTTGCGTAAAAGGATGAATCAACACCGGTCTGATAATAAAGATCCGCAAATCATGGTTCTTTATAACCATTTTAATCAACCGGACCATGATCCTTCTTTATCTATGAAAGTACGCATTATTGAGAAAATTTATCACCACACCAATAGCCCTGTACTAAGTACTTCTTTCCGAAAAGATAGAGAAAATTTCTGGATAAGGGAACTAGGTAATGCAATGCCATATGGTTGCAATGATAACATCAAAGGAGTAAGAAATTTGTCAAGTCCAGCCTGCAGTGATTTAAATGTAATGAGCTTATTTAATACTACTTTAAGACACCAGCGTAGTCATGGGCAAAAACATTATCATCTGCCTTATGATCGCCCTCTGGGAGCTTTGATGACCTTCTTTCATATCTTCATCATCCGCTAGGGTTACACTACATTCGAACTATTCGTTTTTCACTGCCTGGTAATTTTCAAAAATTTTTGAGAGTTTATGCACTTGACAGAGGATGCATAAATACATTTTCTCCAATATACAGACTGGTCAGTATAATTTGTGATGTAGCTCTTTTTTTCTTTTTAAACCAGTAAGATCGGAACCTTTACATAATGAAAAGAGGAAATTCTTCCTGTTCAGTTTACCAATAAAGGAATTGATGCAATCAACATCAGCAATGTTCTACATCACAAGGAGGTAACATCTAAAATTCCACTTTATTTTCGAAATCAGTCTGTTCCTATTGTATCCTACAGTTACACCAAAACCATTGCACCTAAAGCATTAACTATAAGCAAGCATTGCAAGACCTTGATTTAAAACAATACATAAAAAACCCTCTGACATGTGACTGTTCCCACTCGCCTTATATTTTCAGCCCCTCTGGCCATGTTATTACTGGGGATCTGAACATAATTCAACATCAACATCTCCGAAATGTGTTATCTCATGGTCCTAAGTTAAGAGAACCCCAAAATATCAATTGGAATCATAACTTCAAAATAATTATGGGTTCCACTGAGGACTACGCCAGAGCATGGGCTAAACGAGAAGAAGTTGAACTGGACACTTTGTCAGAATGGGTCAAAACAATCAGGTCTCTGATAAAACGTCGAATTCATAAGTTGAAAAACTGTGTGAATGATCGACCAAGAAGCTGTGAAATGTCTATCATCTCTTCACGATAAATATGTTGTTGCTCCTGCGGAAAAAGCTTCAAATAATATTATCTTTGTATTTAAATCGTACTACTATGCGTGTCTTGTAAAAGAATAAGGAATAAATGAGCACTCAGGTAATCCCTTATACAATCAAAGCACTGAAGTACTGAAAATCGGATGACCGCAAGTTCTATTGGATGGTCACAAGCACTTGTCTCAGAAAAAAGAATCACATCTCTATACCTGAAAGTGCGGTTAATGTACAGATATATATTTTTTTTCTGAGACAAGTTCGTGCGTGGATGACGAATAAATTACAGGGAATTCAACCTCACCGTAATAACTATTATATTGTAGTGATACAAATCAGTATACTCTGGTTTGTTGTTTTATATTATATTAATATTTGTATATAACAGTTACATGTATAAATAATTTTCATCCATTTGTATATCATTCTATTCTACTATTCTAATAATAGTGCATGTTGGACACTCTTCTGTAATAATTTGATTTTTCTAATAGATTGGATATGAGTAGGCATTCATATTTTCCAGCAAAACGTTCTTGTGATATTCTTCCGCATGCGTTAACACAATTTGTTTGTACGTGTGCAAAGATATTAATGATTTTTTACTTATATATATATTTCTAACGACAAACCATTATCATATTATTAATTTATGTTCTAAAAAAATATTTTTATGAGTATTCATTGAAGAAATGAATTTATAACAAG